CACCTTCCACTCCTCCTATTCCTCCCTCCCACTCCACCTTCCCCTTCTCCTACTCCACCTTCTCCTCCTCCTACTCCTCCCTCCTCCTCTTATTCAATCCTACTCCTCCTATTCCTCCTTCTACTCCACCTTCTCCTCCCTCTACTCCACCTTCTCCTCCTCCTACTCCTCCCTCTACTTCACCTTCTACTCCACCTTCTCCTCCCTCTACTCCACCTTCTCCTCCTCCTACTCCTCCCTCTACTTCACCTTCTACTCCTCCTACTCCTCCCTCCTACTCCACCTTTTCCTCCTCCTACTCCTCTCTCTACTCCACCTTGTCCCCTACCTGACAACATCACCATACAAAGGTGTCAAGTTCTTAATCCGTCCACTCTTCTTCCACTCCCTGAGGGGGGTATCCACTATGGGTTTATCATGGACGAAACCTATATTTTTCTCCTCACTGGAACCATCAAGAGGATGCATCCTGATTTAACCTTTTATAAAGAACAAAAACCTCTCTGTGAGGGTCCAGGATATGCCTTCTGTACCACATGGTACAAGCCGAACATCTCTCCTGAACCTTGCTATGAAGATGAACTCTATCACTGGGTGGAGGTGAAACTCACTGCTCACGACTTCTATTGTGATTCTGAAGGCAATAGCATGGTCTTGATCGAACTACCTTCAGAACTCAAGTATTTATACCGTCATTGGGATACTGCTATTCCACATGTCCCTGTTACCAAGTTGAAAACAAAATCATGGAATGATCTCGGGCCCATGGCGAAATTATGGGCCACCATGGATGACTCGAAGTTACAGGAAAATGGCATTGCCAAATACCCCACAACTGACCTACTTGAAGCATGGCCACGCCATTTCCTGGAAAATGACTTTAAAAGCCTGGTCATAGTAAACAACTATGACCCAGAGACTCCTCACGACTGTTTTGAACAGATGAAAATGGAGACCATACATCTACCAACGGTGCATGAGAATCCATTGACAAATCCTGATTTCACTCTGTTTGTGGATGGTTCAAGATATGCTGATGAAGAAGGAAAATACCACACAGGATATGCCGTAACCACAACAGATGAAGTTATCAAGTCATCATCTTTACCACCAGCAATGTCTGCGCAAGAAGCTGAATTACAAGCCCTGTCTTCAGCATGCAAAATCTCCGAAGGAAAACGTGCCAACATCTACACAGATTCAAGATATGCCCTAGGTGTGGCACACGACTTCGGCCTCATATGGAAGACAAGAGGATTTCTTACTACTGCCGGCACACCAGTCAAACACAGCTCTGCAATCAAAGAGCTAATGGATGCCCTCCTACTCCCTGAAGAAGTGGCCGTATTGAAAGTCAAGGCACATGGAAAGTTGGATACAGATGAAGCAAGGGGCAACCATCTGGCTGATCAGGCTGCTAAGCAAGCAGCAAGAAATTTGCAGGAAGTGGACGAAGAAGTGTCCGGTCAAGAAGAAGTTCCTGTTTTTACTTTACAGACCCTTCCTACTGATCTAAGGATTTTGCGGGAACAGCAAGCCGCAATTACCCCTGAAGAGATCCAGAAATGGAAGAAGAAAGGGGCTGTCTTAAAGGACGGAATATACTATAACAATTTCAAATTCTGCCTTCCAAAAAACTTATACCCAGCAGTTGTCCAATGGGCACACGGACCAGCACATCTGTCAAAAGATTTAATGGCCGCCCTCATCCAGAAGTATTATGAAGCCCCTGGAATAACAACATTGATCACTAACTTCTGCAGGGTTTGTGCCATTTGCGCAAAATGCAATCCAGGGAAGCCAATCAAAGTGCCTACAAAACATCTGGCTAAGCCCATGTACCCATTCCAGAGAATTCAAATTGATCATATACAAATACCCAAGAGCGGGCCCCATGAATATGCACTAGTGATAGTGGACATGTTCTCAGGCTGGCCAGAAGCCTACCCAGTAGCCAATATCACTGCCAAAACAACAGCAAAACGTCTACTTACAGATGTTGTATGTAGGTTTGGACTTCCAGAAGTTATTGAAAGTGACCAGGGCCCAGCCTTTACAGCAACAGTAACTAAAGAGATTTGGACTGCTCTGGGGGTGACCCTAGCCTTTCACACCCCTTACCACCCACAAAGTAGTGGGAAAGTGGAACGCATGAACGGCACCTTAAAAGCCAGAATGCTTAAAATGTCACAAGAAACAAAGATGCCCTGGCCAGAAAGTCTACCAATAGCTCTATTTAGTGTTAGGCACACACCTGGAGGGAAGCATTCACTATCCCCATACGAGATTCTATTTGGGACCGCACCCAGACTAGGTTGTTATTATCCACAACAGTTACAGCTTCAATCTGATGTTTTAGTAGACTATGTAATTGAACTTGCAAGTGCCTTGAACAAAATACATGCCCAAGTTTTCTCTTCAATTCCAGATCCCGATTTGGATACAGGTACCCATAGCCTGCTTCCTGGAGATTGGGTTCTGGTCAAGAAGTTTGTGCGGAAACATACCTTGGAACCAAGATTTGACGGGCCATTCCAAGTTCTCCTAATCACCGCAACCTCCGTCAAATTGGCCGGCCGGCCACATTGGATCCACGCTTCCCATTGTAAGAAAGTACTTGCCCCAGAGGAAGCTAGTACCGCACCACCATGTACCTCTGGTACAGTATCTTCTTAATCAGCTTAATTAAAGCTCAACAAGTAGCCATCACTAAAGATGCTAGTGGGTACACCTTCTGGTATAATTCATCATGTACCCGTGTGGCTACTTATACTTTTGACTACTGTGACATCGTAGAATGCCCATTCCCCACGTCACAGATTCAGAATATCTATAGAGATATCCCTCATTCAAAAGACCCCTATGTTTGTGTAGTTGACAAACAATGGGGGCACAACTGTAACCATTGGGGGGCGGCGGGATGGAATGCCGGGCCTGCCTGGGGTTACAAACCAAAAAGTGCCTTATCTAAAATTGATGATCACGGTAGGTCCCTCCTCCAGAGAATGACTCTAAGAAAGCCCGGAGGAGGCATACCTATGAAATTAATCTTAAACATTGAGCATCCCAGCCCAACGGATGCAGACCAGTATGTAATGGGAATGTACTGGAAGAAGGGTTCCTATAATAAATTAGGACATTTCCACCTTAAAGATATGTGCCACTCTCCTGAGTGGAAAGGGACCACCCACATGGTCTCAAATCCGTTGAAACCACACATCCAATCTTTTAAAGACATGATGGCCATTGCAAATCCAACATTTGAAGATACCATGGCCGCTGAAACAGGTTTCAATGATGTTAATCTATGGTTAGAATGGATGAAAAATAATGCCAACAAACATAACAGAACCGCATGCTATGTGTGTGGTGGTGCCCGGCCGCACCTGGGCACTGTGCCTTTAACTTTGCCAGTAGATATAGAAGAATGTGTTCTGAGTCTTTTTGCCTATCACTACAATTTCAATAGGTCCATATGTAAAGCATGGACAGTAGAGTATCCTCTTCTAGTCAAAGATTGCAAACCCCCAGATGGTGTTACCGTCTATAAAGGTAATTATACCTGTTATGCTAATTATGATGGAATTGGTAAATTTGTGGGTAACTTCTCTAAAGGTTATTGTGCCACCTACAGAACTGTCTCTATGAACCTCCTACAATTCCACACTAGATCATTGGGGGATATTTACTGGTTGTGTGGGGATCTACAGCTGAGATCAAGAATGGATAAAGACTCATGAGTCCAAACACTCACCAACCAAGGTAAAGCGTGAAGCCCCAGTAAAAGGCAGTTTTGACCCTCATATTTACATTGATGCCATTGGGGTACCTAGGGGGGTGCCCAATGAGTTTAAAGCCAGGGATGAAGTTGCTGCAGGATTTGAATCACTTTTTACCATAGTCACTGCAAACAAGAATTTAAATTGGATAAATTACATCTACTACAACCAACAACGGTTTGTTAATTACACCAGGGATGCCCTTCAGGGTTTGGCCGAACAGCTGCAGGCTACGTCCCAAATGTCATTCCAAAATAGAATGGCTTTAGATATGATTCTAGCCGAAAAAGGAGGGGTATGTAAAATTCTGCCTGACACCATGACATGTTGTACTTACATCCCAGAAAACACAGGCCCCAATGGTAAAGTAACCTTAGCTATAGAAAAATTGAAAGAGCTCTCTGAGGAGCTAAAGAGGAACTCTGGGATAAAAGATCCCTGGGAGAGATGGTTTGGTTGGATGACAGGATGGCAAAAAGCTTTGATGCATATTGGTATAGCAATACTAATTTTCCTTTTTATCTTTGCTCTTCTCGTTTGTTGTGTCCTCCCTTGTCTGAGAAAGCTCCTCTTGAAGACTGTAGACCAAGCGGCACCCACTTACGCACACCTCACAGTTGATGACCAAGATTTCCAAAAAGTCAACTCGCCCTGTATACCGCTACAATCTATCCCGTTTATTGATAAAGTGCAAGAGTTCTAGGAAGGGACCAGCTTAGGGACAGCATCTGTCTGTCTGGGAAGTCTACCGTGCGGAGATGTGGTGGGTTAGCCACCTCGGGATACCCATGGAGTGAAGTGTTCGAGTGCCCAGCGGACAGATGAGTTAGCCAATTAGGGACAGACGAAGGGACAGCTTTGCACTTTGCAATAACACCTAGCTAGCGGGTCACGGGGTTTCTGTGCCTTTGGGCTAACACGTCTTCTGATACTAACAAATAAAGATTATCTTTTAGAATCTAACATTTCATAGGGGGGACTGATGTAGAATTATTAAAATCTTTATTAGAACCTGTATTGAATTATTGTACTAACTCCATTTTGTTCACCTTACATGACAGAATTTCCTGACAGTATTCAGTATAATGAATAAGAGATTGTATTTTCTCTCTCTAAGGACATAACTAGCCCCGGAGTTAGCGGATCTCCGTTGACTTGCAACATAGTATAATCCAAGGCCAGGAGAACAGCGACTAATGAAATGTTCTATTCATAAAAGAACCTTGGAACAGACCACGAGACTGACATCACTAACTACGTAAAATGATGCCCAAGCCCCCCCTTCCCACCGAGTAAGCCTCGTGCTAAAGAGCAATGGCGACGACATCCCATGATGGGAGGGTGCCTCACTAGTCACTCAAATCTCTGAGCCAATTAATAATATTAATGGGTGGACACTGACATAGCCACTTAACATTTAACCCAATTAATGATGTTTATTTGTTATTATCTGATATTCAATGATGATGTCATTTTGCATATAAAAAGGCCTGCGTGCCCGCTTTTTAACTAGATGCTAATAAATTTCCTGAAGTGTTTTTAACCTGAACTGCATGTGTCAGTGTAAACTTACTTCTGCGTATACGCAATTTATTCATCTCAGATTTGGACAGGAACAGATAGACTTTTAAACATTTTTGTTTATTTCTAAATTAATCTACATCACCAGTGTCTGGGTGTTATTTAGTATCAGTCTGTGTGCCAGTCTCTGGGTGTTATTTAGTATCAGTCCCTGTGCCAGTCTCTGGGTGTTATTTAGTATCAGTCTCTGTGCCAGTCTCCGGGTGTTATTTAGTATCAGTCCCTGTGCCAGTCTCTGGGTGTTATTTAGTATCAGTCCCTGTGCCAGTCTCTGGGTGTTATTTAGTATCAGTACCTGTGCCAGTGTCTGGGTGTTATTTAGTATCAGTCTGTGTGCCAGTCTCTGGGTGTTATTTAGTATCAGTCTCTGTGCCAGTCTCCGGGTGTTATTTAGTATCAGTCCCTGTGCCAGTCTCTGGGTGTTATTTAGTATCAATCTCTGTGCCAGTGTCTGGGTGTTATTTAGTATCAGTCCCTGTGCCAGTCTCTGGGTGTTATTTAGTATCAGTCTCTGGGTGTTATTTAGTATCAGTCCCTGTGCCAGTGTCTGGGTGTTATTTAGTATCAGTCTGTGTGCCAGTCTCTGGGTTTTATTTAGTATCAGTCTCTGTGCCAGTCTCCGGGTGTTATTTAGTATCAGTCCCTGTGCCAGTCTCTGGGTGTTATTTAGTATCAGTCTCTGTGCCAGTGTCTGGGTGTTATTTAGTATCAGTCCCTGTGCCAGTCTCTGGGTGTTATTTAGTATCAGTCTGTGTGCCAGTCTCTGGGTGTTATTTAGTATCAGTCTCTGTGCCAGTCTCTGGGTGTTATTTAGTATCAGTCTCTGTGCCAGTCTCTGGGTGTTATTTAGTTTCAGTCCCTGTGCCAGTGTCTGGGTGTTATTTAG